AAACCAATCTATTCGGCAAAATCTGTATAAATGAGGCCGCTTACTTGATTTTGTTTTATGGGAGTGCCTGAGTTGTCTAACACATGTAACGTAACCGCCGCACAGTTCAAATGTCGTTGGCGCGTACAGTTGCTGCAAGCTCAAATGTGCCCGCTTCTTCCGGGCACACCGTAGTTTGTGCACTTTACTAAAATCAGGAAGAAGACGAATTAAAGAACTTTGCAGTCGCATCCGGCAGCGCTAGTTGTTCGCAAACTGGCAGTTTCCTGCAGAGAAATGGGCCACATTCAGCAAACCAGTCAGCAAAAAGGCTTCAACCCTTGGCAAACACTCCCTAATCCCTTAGCTTGAATAAATAAGGCTTAGGATCCTTTGCGTAATGTTAACAAAACTAATATCTCTCGAACAATACCCAATAAGGGACGCTTACGACCTCCTGTAAGATACCTCTATCTAGAAAATTCTCCTGATGACCAGTAGGAGAATTTTAAAATGTATATTGGAACGTACAAGCAAGTGACAATTACCTCGGTGCTCTAGGGCCCTTCGTGCTCCTCGCCGGCAGTGGTCCATGCAGACGCATCTCTTCTGGCGATGAAACAGACACCATCGATTTCCAGCATATGGAGTTCATAGACACGCCACCTTCACTCCCGAGGCTACTGAGGAGGGCAATGTCGACGTCTGTGCACGCCTCTTTCTCCACTATTAGAGAAGCGTTATGCATGTTTATGTTCGTGTCGGCAACGTTCAACTTCAGATCAAATGTTTGGCCAAAAGTAAGCCTCGCTGGTGAGTCCGTGGGACAGAGCCGTCGAATGGATAGGGAAGGCTCGAGGGAGCAGCTTCTGGATGAAGATGCCAACAATTGACAAGGTGCTTGTGAGTTAGAGGCAAGGGAGGCTGGTTGAGGGATACGAAAGCGGCAGAGGTTGGAGTGAGCTGTAGAATTGATAGTTGGCCGGTGTCCGGAACGATATCGGAGAGCTGAAGAGTTCCAATCAAGATGCC